GCAGGGAAGGCTACACGTGGGAAGCAGATGGAAAGTACGCAAGGCTCCTCACGCAGGAGCTCAATCTTGAAGGCGGAAAGGGAGTTGACACCCCAGCCTCCAAGGAGACAGGAAAGAACGACAGGTTTGCGGAGGAGGAGTTGTCGCCTGAGGAGGCCAGTGAGTTTCGAAGGCTCGCGGGGACAGCACTGTATCTGAGTCTTGACCGGCCCACGATACAGTTTGCAGTAAGCGACATTACTGCAGGTATGGCCAAGCCGCGTCGCATTCACATGCACCGGCTCAAGCGCCTAGCCCGCTACCTACTCAAGTTTCCGTCGGAGGTGTGGGTCTACAAGTACCAGGAGGCCCCAAGGGAGCTAGTTGTCTATACTGACTCCGATTGGGCACAGGACCCAAAGACGAGAAAGAGTATGAGCGGCTATGTGGAGATGTTCGGGTCCCACATGATCGAGACCAGCTGCGGTCAACAGTTGCCTTGTCAAGCGGGGAGGCAGAGTACTATGCCTTGACTCGTGGTGTGGCGGCAGGCCGCATGTCGCAACAGATCTGGGAAATCATTGGCTACAAGCTTCCGCTGGTGGCCGAGACTGACTCGACAGTCGGGAAGGGCATTGCCCAACGAAAGGGCGTAGGAAAGCTGAAGCACCTGGAGCTCAGGGAGCTCTGGCTGCAAGACTACGTGCAGCAGGGCAAGGTGCAGATCCGGAAAGAAGCCACTGCAACAAACGTGGCGGATCTAGGAACTAAGGCTTTAAACGGCCCTAGGATCACGGATTTGACCAGGATGCTGCCTCTCCGAAGGGGCTTCGTGGCAGCGATTCTGGCAATGTGTTTGAATGTGGCTGCGGCGCAACCGCAGGAAGAAGAGGGTGTACATGCTCATTGTGCACCTCTTGGCCCTGATTGGGCTGGTTCAGGTGGCAAGAAAGGTTGCCGGGCTCTGCGGTCCAAGCAGAGCTGTGAGGAGAAGGAACTGGCTCAAGATATCGGCTCAAGCTCTCTGGAGCGTGTAGGAGGTGCAGCTGTGTAGAACTGGCCTGGGTACTAACCTGTGCAAGAGGCTCAAACAGGTCAATCCCAGCTTGTAGCACTCGTCCTCGTGTGCGCCATCTGGAGTTTTCTGCACAGTCAAGGTTGAGTTTCTCGCCTTGCAGCAGCAGCTTAGAGCCCGGCTCTGGCTCCTCTCCACGGTGAGTTTCT